AGAGGAATTTTTACTTTTTATCTCTCCAAGGATACCACACATTTCATCAATATCAGTATGTATCAAATAAAAACTGTTCGGTACAGAAATCTCCTGCAGGTACAACATTGGATCAATTTGTGAATTTAAATTTGCTATTAGTCCATCAGCAACGGAACAATAAAAATCGTTTAATGTGTTAGCGTCAACATCAACTTTAGTCTTTGCTGAGCTAGATTTTCCCCGCAAACAGTTTACTATTTTCCAATTCTCTTTAGTTTTATTTTGCGCCCTATCAATCCTATCCCTGTAATACCACTTCTTGGCTGTCTTAATAGTACTCCTATAAATATTTTTGTACCTATTAAAATAGGCCAAGAAAGCTTGATTTAAAGTGAATTTTCTTAACCTATGCAGACATCTTAAATTTACTGAGGAGTTTCTTATTCCCGAGGTAATCCAGGGCTTTTTGTTTTTCTGCTTTAATTTACGGACAGGAAAATTTGCATTAAAAATTTCAACAACTATAGGTACTATTAAATTTATCTAATGAGTTATCCAATCTCAATAATCCCTGCCAATTTATTTTCGCAGCCTATTCCCTAAAATGTCCAAAGTTCAGAATCTGGCAGTTTTCAGGCATATCCAAGCGTTGCGATACTTTTCACCGAAAATACGGTGTTGTCATATTTCAACAACTAGTAGAGATAGAATTTTGAAAATTTGGAGTCAAAATTGGCACGCCCAATTCATTACAATAAAAATAAATGGGGTATTCTATGAATCATGTTTCATTCGATGAAGGATTAAATTGCCCACAGAATAGTTTCATCCAGAATCATCCCGTTTTTAAGTTATGACCCTTCAAAGTTAAAATTTTCTCAAAAATTTACTGTAGCTTTGTTTCAGGTGAAGTTTCAACTTCCAGCGGGCCGATCCTCGAGCCAGGGAGTAGAGCTTCTCGAGAGAACAAATTTTTCGTCTTTATCATTCTCATTTACTTTTCGATTACGTTGACAAAGACAAAACATTCGTCCTATCGGGGAGCTCTTCTCCCTGGCCCGAGGATGGGGCTTCAGGACAACTCCACCAACAATAGAACCTATTTTTTTAATATTTTCTCCCCTAATAATGTTGTTGCGAACCACCGCGACTGCAAGTCGACGTTGAGATTTATTAGTATATTGATGTGTGTAGATGTATCAGTCTCAGAGTATCAGTAAAGGGTCCCATTCACGTTCAGATCTGTATCGATACATGTTTCGCAGGCAGCGCTACATGTATCTGAGATTTGTATACATGTTTCAATTACTCCTACACATTGAGATGAGCTCAGAAAACATCAGTTCAGTCACAAGTTCAGTTCAATTAATAATTTATATAAATTCAAAAATTCCTCCCAAAACTCAGGATCTTCCATGTTGGAAAAAACACTATTTATATTTTAGTAGCGCGATACATAATAAACTTCAACATAAACGTTGAAACAGGTATCGAAGTTTTAGTACATTAATACAGACGGCGATACCATCTGATACCGATACAGCGATACTGAGACAGGCAAATACACAGTGAGATTTGTATCCAGATACTTGTATCGATATTGATCTCAACGTGAATGGGGCCCTTTAAACGTATCAATCCCAGGCAGATGATTTACGCATCAGTATCAGGCAACTTGGATTCCAGGCCGAGAATTCATGCCAGTATCAAATAGCCGCAGATCAGTGTCAGTAGCGGAAATCGGGGTACCAACAAGGGGAGAAAGGAGGCCACATCAGGGAAAACAGGGCCTCATCTCAGTTATGGTTATCACAGGAGAAACAAGGCAGCTCAGTCTTTGTTAGTTTTTGTTTATTTGATTTGAATTTTCAGTATGTTTTGCCTCTAAGCCTCTAAAATATTCCCTCAAAATTTCATATTCGTGCTTCAAGTAGTTTTTGACTAAATAATTAAAATGTGAAAGCATGTCATGAAAACGGATTTCCTAGAAAGTTTCAACTTTGAAGGCTGATAACACAAAACTAGACAACTATTTTATATCTTAATGGTCCTTTGGGATCCCTCAAACTTCATACACTAAAATATTCTGAGATTTGGATCCGTATTCTATGAAAAAAGGCATTCAGAAAAATTGAAAAAATGATTTTAGCCATTTCGTGTCCTTAGTTTGAATAATGGTGGATTTCGTGGGTTATAGGACGGGACAAAATAGAAACTACCAGATGTGTGGCAACGTTGCGGTTTTAATCAAACCTTTTTCAAGCCTCAATCTCCTGTTTCGTAACAGACTTATGAAACAGGAGATTGAGTAACGGACTTACGAAACAGGAGATTGAGGCTTGAAAAAGGTTTAATTAAAACCGAAACGTTGCCACACATCTGGTAGTTTCTATTTTGTCGCGTCCTATAACCCACGAAATTCACTATCATGATTTTATTTCTGGAACTATAAATCCAAATAAGCTGAAATTGTAGTCCTCTACTAGAATAGGAGAGGCAATGAAATCAGGGAGATTGATAAGGGGTTTTCATTCGGGCCTAATGGCCGTCGTAAGTTGGAATTTCTTCCTAACTTTACGCTGGCACGCGTGGTTAGCATCTTCAAGAGGTGCTTCCATGTCCAATTCTGGTAGTAGACTGACGTTTTCTCGACCGTAAGTTGTATTTATGTGTGACTGGCTGTGGTGGGGGAGGGGCGGGGCTACGTGGCACGTGGCTAATCTCAACTGTCTCTGTACTCAATGGGATCTTTCTTGCGTTTTTGAGGATCGGGTTCCAGGTTTGGATTAGTTTTACTGTTTCTCCTTTCCTGTTGAAGTTCTCCGTATGTTTGTGGATTTCTATAGCTTCACGTACAAGACGATTGTGGTATCTGGAAGTCGGTGCAAGAAGCTTGACATCACCAAAGAGTATTTCATGATTCCCTTCGCTAAGCGCATGTTCCGCAACTTCCGATTTTTCCGATTGTCCTAGTTTGCAGATTCTTTTGTGCTCGTTCATCCTAGTTCCCATGGATCTTTTTGTCATTCCTATGTATACCTTACCACATCTGCATGGTATACCATAGACTCCAGCGCTTGATAGTGGGTTCCTCTTATCCTTGGCTGATCTGATTGCTTTGTGTATTTTCCTTGTTGACTTGAGGATTGTTTTTATGTTGTGTTTATTCAAGACTTTCCTTAACCTGTCTGTAACTATTCTAAAACGAATAACAGGTAAGTATTCAAAGGTATTTCTAATTGGGAAACAAATATAGTACATCTGCTTCAAACAATAGCAAAGAGAGAATCCAACATTCAATTTTCGTCGAGTGCCATTGCCTCGAGAAGCTTAAGATATTCTATCAATTCTAAAACCATCGAAAACCAAAGCTAAATAATTCAGCGCGAAAACAACGATCAGTTCGTCGGTCGGTAGGAAATTCTTGTTCGTCTCGAAGGTAATTTCTCTTGGCTTGTGTTTTATTCAACTATACGTTTTCGTTTCTCGAATTCGGCTAGGTAAATTTTGCACCTTTCATTCTCTTTCCGACGCCTTTCGAGCTGGCTGATATTTTATAATCCAAATGGAAAATTGGAGCAAACTCCGCAAAAATCGCTCTAGGGGAATATTGCATGGATACATTGATCTTGGATTTTTAGTTTAGCATGCAACCAGATTAACATTCGAAAAACAGAGATAAATCGTTTTCGTGTATTACAATATATTTTGCGAAACTTTAAATCAGGAATATGCCCTGCAGCTTCTCTCTGTTCAACTTTAAATAAACACAATTACACGAATATGCTTATTTTGTCGCTTCTAGCTATTTGTTGAACCGTTTACAATTCAAATTCAAAGTATTTCTAATCACTTAAATAGAAACCATTTCAACCACATGTTCACCAATTCAAGAACATTTACACTCTACAGTATATTTCCCTAGAAATAATAGAGTCTGAAAATTGGAACTCTCGGAACATTTCGCAGACATTTCACCGAGACTAGCCAGCTTTATAAAGTTCTCAAAATGGCAGTCGCTCGAGCCATTTTAAACTTCTCCGAAGTTTAAATGAATTTTTCTCCGGAAAATAATTTCCACCAAAACATTCTGCTATGGCAAAATAAAATTTAATACGTTTTTAATCCGGATCGGAGCGGCCAAAGCCCCCCTGTGCAATTTAAAAGCAACAGTTTCGAACAAAAGGCCCGTTAAGCTAAAGTCACACTGAAATATTGAAATGCTGTCAGTTAAATGTGCGACGTGTTCAACAAATTTGCTAAATGTACAAAGCGGGGATTACGTGATACGGTCGACTTCATGGCATTATACAATTTATCAAATTTGTCACATGTTCTAACGTTTATTTTAAATCCTTTTCATTGATAGACGGGCTTTAAAATTATGCGGGCTTTTGTAGCTAGGTAGATATTTATCAAAATATTAAGTACCTACACAATATTTATTTTTCTTTGTAAGGAAATCCAGTGCATGTGAATTATATTTTTCGTTCAGTAAATCTTGTTTTTAAAAACTATTTATTATATTAAAAACTAAGAAGTTATAACAAAAAATACTAAAGTTTAATTGCTGCGTCGAAAAGCTGATAATTAAAGAATTTTGATTCTAAATTGCTATAGTCTAAGCTACAATACAAATGAATGAATGAGAGAAGACTCTGCACGTCGTATTTATATTAAAATACTGCTGACGGTTGCGAAACCTTGATATGGCGGTACTTTTCCAGGCAGTACTGATTACTCAGCATCTTTATAAAATCTTGAGCTTTCACAGTAGCGTACGCTTATATTTAATATTAAAAACGAGAATTATTAGTATAATAATAACATAGGGTTTTATAATATAACTTGTGTAAGACATTTCAAAATTGAAACTTGTTTTAAGATATTCTATTTAATTTAGGTTTAGCATTATAAATTTAAAACACGTGTTTTTAGTTGAATAAATTCCAAAACATTTGTATTTTACTAATTATCTACACAACTTTCCAGAATATGACTCATATGTTATTACATACCAAGTTCGAGGCCATTTGTGCACCTCAGGAAAAAACCCAACAGTATGAAAAATCTGGCACCCACGACGTCGAAAGAACCGCGTCTACGCGTCGTCATGACGATGGCGTCGCGCGTTAGGTTGGCGTCGCGACAACCATTTTTGACGTCCCTGACGCACAACTCGCGTTACACTGAACTGGATTCGTGCTGTGCAAAGACCTTTTTCCTTCCTCTTTGTAAATAGACAGGGTGTATGCGCGCAACAGGCATCTATCTCAAAAATTGGGCCAACACAGCAAATAAAACAATTTCGATGATGCCCTTCCAGCGAAGAGGGATTTAATTTTGTGATTAATTAGAATGTCGGGGAGTTTCGAAGAGGATTTTTCGGAAAAGTTTTTGAGGAATATAAATGAAATATTAATTCGTTCGAAAATAAATTAAAATTAAAACGTTTGCTAAAGCGAGATTAAACAGAAAAGTTACTAATTAATTTCCATTGCTAGTAAATTTTTTAAATTATTTCAGGACACACCTTGCGGGTAAAATGAATGTTTTAATATAAACTTTCAAGTGCATAATTAAAGCCTTTATTAGCTCCGATAAACTTGCAAAACTCGGCATCCGCATGCATGATAATAGAGCAGTAATCTAGAAATCTTTACACCACGGATGACCCATATTTTAGGACCCTATCAGCAATTTTGACTCCTCCGAATAACATAATAACGATAACAAAACGACCTGACCCTCAAGTAATAAAAGGAATAAGCACAATCTACTGCCAGTTTCGGTGTCGACACGTTTCTAACAGAATAGTGAACAGAAAACGATTCAGATAAACTTGTCATTGGAGGTAACAAATTTTATCATGCCTTTTCTAAATTGTTGTTGGTATATTATGATACATAATCAATGCAAGGCTTGAATTTATGATAAATACAATCATAGTTGAAAAATGCCAGGATCTATGTATTTCAAAATTTTTCAAACAAAAACTAAAGCAAAATCGAACTTCCAGCTGATGAAGAGGAAGAAAGTAATCATCCTATGCAGAGCTGTTGTACTGAGTATTTTAAATATTCGAAGTAAATACTTAAGTACAAAAATATACTTAAGTATTTTGACTTAAGTACTAATTCAAACATTGGTACTTTCACTTGCAATTTCAAATTTTACTTGTACTTAATACTTCAAATATTAGTCAAGTATATTTTACTTGAAAGCTTTTGAAAATTTGTACTTAGCAATTTGGGGTAATTTATCAATTTTTCAATTTTTTTGAGTGCCTTTTTCCATAGATTTCGGCTTCAAATTTGAGAATAATTTTATCTATGGAGTTTGAGGTGTGTTGATTGACCATTAGGATACAAAATCTCGACAAAAAAAAATTTGAAATTTCATCGTTTTAGTATAGTAAGAAGGTACCACCCCCCTTATGATTTAGCTTTTGGAAAACTTTGAAAGGTCATAAGTTTTTTTCTATTATAGATAGAAAGCTAAATTTTTCACTGAATTTCATCATTTTCAAAGGACTACAATCCCTCAAAAATTCAGCTCATTTGCACTTATAGTTCCTGAGATGAAATCGTGTTATGCAATTTGGGGTGATTTATCAATTTTTCAATTTTTCTGAGTGCCTTTTTCCATAAATTTCGGCTTCAAATCTGAGAATAATTTTGTGTATGGAGTTTGAGGTGTGTTGATTGACCATTAGGATACAAAATCTCGACAAAACAAAATTTGAAATTTCATCGTTTTAGTAAGAAGTTACCCCCCCTTCTGATTTAGCTTTTGGAAAACTTTGAAAGGTCATAACTTTTTTTCTATTATAGATAGAAAGCTGAATATTTCACTGAATTTCATCATTTTCAAAGGACTGAAATCCCTGAAAAATTCAGCTCATTTGCACTCATAGTTCCTGAGATGAAATGGTGTTAAGTAATTTGGGGTAATTTATCAATTTTTCAATTTTTCTGAGTGCCTTTTTTCATAGATTTCAGCTTTAAATCTGAGAATAATTTTGTGTATGGAGTTTGAGGTGTGTTGATTGACCATTAAGATACAAAATCTCTACAAAAAAAAAATTGAAATTTCATCGTTTTAGTAAGAAGTTACCCCCCTTATGATTTAGCTTTTGGAAAACTTTGAAAGGTCATAAGTTTTTTTCTATTATAGATAGAAAGCTAAATTTTTCACTGAATTTCATCATTTTCAAAGGACTACAATCCCTGAAAAATTCAGCTCATTTGCACTCATAGTTCCTGAGATGAAATCGTGTTAACCCTTAATTGGTCGCGCTGGCGTAAAAAGTACGCCAAACGAGTTCAAACACGTAGCATACTGAAACTAGCGATTGGCCGAAGGTGATCGCCTATGTAACCTACCACCATGATGTCTTGTATGCACTGGAAAAGTGGCGATCCCGTAGGTTTCCATTTCGCTTCCCTGCAGGGCGCTGCTTTAAATAATGTACTAATTGGCGTATAAAATACGCCAAAGCGACCGTTTATGTTTTTTATTTTTATAATGGTTTATAATACTGTTTTCGCCTAAAATGCAACATTTATGTAGTTGGGATTGAAAATGTTAGTTTTATGTGTTTTGCTTTACCCCTTTAGCGAAAAGATTTTAGAAAATGAAGTTTGTTCGGTTTTCCTTATTTTTTTGTTTTCTGTAAATAAAATGCTGTTTTATTTTTATGTGAAACATTGGGTCCTATGATTGAACGTTTACATTATCCGTAACGTACATGTTAGGCCGAGTTTTAACAGTAATGATGCAAGTTCGTATGATGGAAAGTTTTTCATAACAGATTACTGTTATTTCCGGCCTGTTATGTACTAATTTAACATATCTCCTGAACAGCCCCGAATAACATGCCGTTAAGTGCTTAACGTTCATGTTACCAATGTTTTTTTATTTTTTTGGAGATCCTATTTTGAATGACGGGGTAATTAATTTACATAATACAAGAAGAGAATCTAACTAGGAGGTACCTAGGTTATAGGATTCATTACTATTTTATGTTAATCAATTATGACGTACAAAACTTTAATATTAATTCACTATTTGAGGACTGAATTGGACACTCAAAGAAGGCATACCAGAAGTCAGTTGAAACTCCTGATAAGGTTTAATTACTAAATATACTAGAGTTCCGATAGTTCCAAAAGAATCGGTGCAGTTTATAATTCCAAAAATAGGGCCCCATTTCAATATTCCTCAAAGACCAAGGATTTCATCCATTCCAGTTGAACTGAAGGTCTAAATTCTAAAAGATTATTCTGAATTCTTAGTAGGTAGTTGGAACTGTTTTTGATTTTATATAAGGCAATGGTTCTAGTAGTGCTTTTATTTTCGTGTACAAATGATGTCCGCTCATCAGAGGTGTTTTCTCGCGTCTCGAAGTTTTTTTGGTTTGAAACAGTTTCCCAATGACCTCATAACTTCTCGGCGCGAGAAAATGGTTCAAAAACATGGATTGGATTGTATTTCGGAACAGTTTGAACCAATTTTGTGTGACGTCATGGGTTTATCGCGAGATTATACTATTTCAAATCTGTTTTGAATCAGTTTCAAAAAAGTGAACGCAAGAAAACACCCAGGGCATTCATATGATTTGGAAATGTCCCCACACTGTTTCACAGTTATTTTAGATAATCTTTTCGCCCCAATAAATTGAATAACATGTAAAATGAGCTGCAAAAAAATGTAATTTAATTATTTGTTATTATTGTTTCAAGAAAAACGTCACTTTTGAAACCAAAGTGAAGCTAGGTACAAATACTTTCTTCCATTCCTAACAGCCAGCTTAACATTTTCTGTTATCGATTTCGTCAATCATACCGATATAACATCCACTGTTATTTTATATGTTATCTATTCCCTGTTAGCATAACATAACAGTTTTATGTTAATTTTAACGTAAACGTTCAATCATAGGACCCATTATATCTAATATTTTATGTGTTAATAAATCAATACTTGAAGTTACTGAGGATTCCACATTACTTTAGAGGTATCAAAATTCCTCCCGATTATGAAAAGACATTTTTATTTGAGTGGCGTACAAAGTACGCCAAGCGACCAGTTATGTGAAATAAAATCTAGCGACCAGTTAAGGGTTAATAAGCAATTTGGGGATTTATCAATTTTTCAATTTTTCTGAGTGCCTTTTTCCATAGATTTCAGCTTCAAATCCGAGAATAATTTTGTGTATGGAGTTTGGGGTATGTTGATTGACTATTAAGATACAAAATCTCGACAAAACAAAAATTGAAATTTCATCGTTTTAGTAAGAAGTTACCCCCCCTTCTGATTTAGCTTTTGGAAAACTTTGAAAGGTCATAAGTTTTTTTCTATTATAGATAGAAAGCTGAATATTTCAATGAATTTCATCATTTTCAAAGGACTACAATCCCTGAAAAATTCAGCTCATTTGCACTTATGAGATGAAATTGTGTTAAGCAATTTGGGGTGATTTATCAATTTTTCAATTTTTCTGAGTGCCTTTTTCCATAGATTTCGGCTTTAAATCTGAGAATAATTTTGTGTATGGAATTTGGGGTATGTTGATTGACCATTAGGATACAAAATCTCGACAAAAAAAAATTTGAAATTTAATCGTTTTAGTAAGAAGGTACCCCCCTTCTGATTTAGCTTTTGGAAAACTTTGAAAGGTCATAAGTTTTTTTCTATTATAGATAGAAAGCTGAATATTTCACTGAATTTCATCATTTTCAAAGGACTACAATCCCTGAAAAATTCAGCTCATTTGCACTTATAGTTCCTGAGATAAAATCGTGTTAAGCAATCTTGGGTGATTTATCAATTTTTCAATTTTTCTGACTGCCTTTTTCCATAGATTTCAGCTTCAAATCCGAGAATAATTTTGTGTATGGAGTTTGGGGTATGTTGATTGACTATTAAGATACAAAATCTCGACAAAACAAAAATTGAAATTTCATCGTTTTAGTAAGAAGTTACCCCCCCTTCTGATTTAGCTTTTGGAAAACTTTGAAAGGTCATAACTTTTTTTCTATTATAGATAGAAAGCTGAATATTTCAATGAATTTCATCATTTTCAAAGGACTACAATCCCTGAAAAATTCAGCTCATTTGCACTTATGAGATGAAATTGTGTTAAGCAATTTGGGGTGATTTATCAATTTTTCAATTTTTCTGAGTGCCTTTTTCCATAGATTTCGGCTTCAAATCTGAGAATAATTTTGTATATGGAGTTTGGGGTATGTTGATTG